CATTTCATTTCTATTATTTTCTCGGGAGTATAACGTCCGTGATTACCAAGAATTGTTGAATGTTAATTCTACTGAAAGAACTGTGTATAATATTTTCCCATGCATCATGAACATTGAGGTATTGCGATGAGGTGATGGATTTTAATTTTACATATCTGCAAGATTGTAGGGTCGTTGAAAAAGATTTTACCAAAGTGGGAGTGAAGCAACAATTATATTTGGAAATGTTTGTTTTGATTTTGTGATCGAAGTTAAATGATATTCTAATATGTTAGCGGCATTTAACTTACTGATTTTTGTATACTCGCTTATTTTCACGTACGTAAGCTTTATATTTTTTCACAAGTGCATGATCATTTCACCAGAACTTACACATGTGCGCTAGAAGTGCGCAAGTACAATTACTTGAAACGGAGCTAAGGTAAATTTGCAAAATCTCCCTAATAACTCGTCGTGGTAGTAAAACAATTTTTTTTTAAACTTTAAACATCAAGATTTAATGGGGCCAAAACATTAAACGCAACTAAGATTTTATTTTAAATTAAGTATGCGTTATAACTTTTTAAAAGTTTTGTTTATNAATAAAGTCGTAAAAATCAAACTTAATACTGATATTACATAAACATTTACAATAATTAAGTGAATCCAAAACACATGTGAAAACTAGTGAAAATGAAATCTGTCACCAAAGCCATGTAAATGCCAACCCCTAAGCCAGTGTTTCCCAAACTTATGACTTTTGAGTACCCTTTCTAAATTTTTTGTAAAGCTGTGTACCACAAGTAAAAGAATGAATGTATTTTTTTTAAAAATATGTTTGCTTTTCTTTTTTGGTACAAAGTTTTTTGCAAAAATTCTTAAATTTTGGAAAAAAATTCTATGTTAAGGATAAAAATTATATTTTATTGAAATAATCAAAATAAGTAGAATTTTTTTTCAAACCTTTACTATAAAAAAAATTGCACAAAAGTTAAAAATCACAACTGGTTATTGACACCACTAATTATTAACTGTTATATCTGCAAACAATAGCCAATAGAAAAATACGTAATCGTAAATTATTATGGCTAGCTTTGTTTTTTAATAAAATTTTTGAAATTTTCGTTTGTTGCAAGATATTTCGCATAAAAACGTGTACCCCCGCTAAACTTGTCCTGGGGGTACGCGTACCACACTTCGGGAAACACTGATCTAAGTTATAAAATTAAAAACGAGGATGGGACGGGTGGTACGGGGGTTAACATATGTTAAGTCTCAATGGGTGACCATATTACAAATAATGCAAGGTCTGGGATAAATATATACATGTAACACGCAATGGGATTAGATCACAGCTAGGGCTGAAAAGAGTAGAAACTGGTAAAAAATAAATTTCATTTTTGCCTTTTTTTTAATTTCATACTTTAATCACAACCTATGACTGCATCAAATTTAATACCAATCAATGCTTAAATATCAATTGTGCTTTTTATATTCACGAAAATTTCTGATTATTGCATAAATCATGACTTATATTAAATATCAAATCATGTTTAATTTATCAAGCAAATATGATTGATCTTCTGTAATGCTACCTAAATGCTGCATAATTCAAAATGTTTTTTAATTCAACTTGTAAATACTTCATGATGTATGGGTTAGGGGCTGCTGCGCGGCCCAGGCACCCAATTTTAGTTAAATAAAGAGAGAAAGAGACGAGAAAAATTTAATAACAAGGAATTATTTATTATTAAGAATAGGTTTACTTCTCCTGAAAATTATCTATTATTGAAATAGTCCCACTACCAGTGCTTTCCTTTTTCCGTTTCGCTTTCAGGCCAGATCACAACACACCATTAAAAACAAAGGAAAATTGAAATGCATAGCTGCCAACTCTTCCTGTTTTCCCGGAAGATTTTATTTTCATATTTTGAGTGGTAGCGAGACTCCTGTTATTCCAATTAACTTTTTGAGTTATAATGATAATTATAAATGAGTTTGACCACCACTACATATAAATAATTACAATAAATATATAAAAGCATACTAACCAATGCAAAAGCGAATAACAGCGTGATCAAAGTACAATTATATTTTTGTGTGAGATTGTTTTTCGTTTATTGTTTCACTACCACTTGGAAAGTCCATTCTCGGAAAGAGTGAAAGTTGGCAGGCATGGGAATGGCATTCTGAAAAAAGCACACAAAGTTAACCAGTTTTATCCAATTTATGTCAGCAATTTCCTTAAGCAAGCAGCGATTCACGTTTCCTTTTTTAAAAAAATATAAATCTTTGCATATACAGAGTGGCCAATTTTCTCCGGACCACAAATATATATTTTAAAGTGGCAATTTATCAATTCTTGGTTTAATAAATTCAATTTAGTAGATTTTTATCCATCACTATTTCTAAATAATTTGTAAGCTAATGTATTTCACCACGTTATTCTACCTATATCATGCTATACCTTTTAAAAAGCGAGCAGAAATAGTCAAATATTTGCAGAATTTACTTTGTAGTTATTTACCGTTTTTTTTAATTATTTGGAATTGCTCGGAGCAGTTGGCATATAAAATATCGCAGTAGATTAAGAATTTTTGTATTTTCAATATGAAACTATAAAGAAATGACTTGATTGTTTTACCAGTTCTTATAATTTTGGACTAAATAACTGGCAAGTTCATTTGCCAAGCCGCTGTAATCGGTTCATGGTAAACAATAAACCCAAATTTTTAAACTCTACAGATATCTTAGGAAAGAATACCCTTATCCTACAACGCTTTTTTTTCTGTGTGGTATTAAATGTACGCAGAAGTGTCTGAAACAAGTAGAATTCTTATAAAACTTTTATCAGATTTTAACTATTTGCGCACATATCTGTTCAAATTATTTAAGGGTAGGGATGGAAAAATTTTTATAATTCTAAAATGTTAAAATATTTATTTATTGATTCTTCTAGAACTAGAAAAAATATTTTCTGAGAGTAAGGTGTGAAGTTTTCGTATTTTCCCTCTCTATGTAACTCGAAAGAGGGTTACATCCATCAAAAAGATATCCGCTAAGGCTAGTAATGTCCCAGTGCTTGATACAGGAGTTCCATATGGCTTTGTTTGAAATGAGAAGGATACGGAGATACGCATTTATAGTCGTAAACTCAAAATTGGGTCAGATATTCAATACATGCTGTAAAATAGAAGAAAAAAAAAACAAAAACTTAGCTACCACTAGAAAAAGTTTTCTCAAAAAGTTCAGAAAGTTTGCAGCCCTTGGTCATTAAAGGGTCAATGGATTTAAAAAGAGCAATTTAATGAGATGTGTTCCCTTTGACCTAGGCCTAGTGGTGAATTTATCTTATATATTTGAGAATTGAATCGATAGTGGTTGACAAGTGAATTAGACAAACCAATCATATTCATAAACTAATTTTTAGACATATATTTGCAACCACTTTCTTATTTTTCCTAGTTTCTAATAATTATAAAGGATTTTCGCAAAGTGAATTGTCCCCATAGTGGTTCATTATGGTTTGACCGTGTGGAGGTTTTGCGCTATGAAAAAATACAAATAAAATTTAAGAAGCAGCTTGCTCAAAATTTTAGATGAGAATATAAGCATGAGGGTATTCTTTTTGCAGGTTGAATGGACGTAGCAGTTGAAATTTTGTTTTCTATAGAATTTTAGTTAAAACCGGATTTGAAATTTATATTGAGATCTTTTAGCTGAAGCTGGCGTTGAAACTGTGATGAGGTTTGAAGTTGATGTGATTTGTCGAGGATATATGTGTTTTATCAGGTTGATGAAACGATTTATTTTAGTGGTTATGATACGAGGCGTCAAAAGTGAAATGTGTTGTTATTGGCCTGTATTTTTTGTTTTTTGCTGTAGTTTTCAAAGTTGAATATTTCACTGAATATTCAGTTTGTCAGCTCACTGTATTACATTTTGAAGCTTTATCCACGAAATCTGCATTTAGTTTATATATATATATATANAAGCTCATAATTGGGCCGGCTGTTAAACTCTGGTAATAAAATGAAAAAATAAGTATACAATACAATTTTTAAAAAAAGGAACGCGTTATTACATTGCTGTTGACCTAATTTTCTCTTTCATTGCTGCCGTACATCTTCATTTCATTTCAGTCTAAAATTGCATTGCCTGGGGGCAACATTATATACATACTCTTTACATAAAGCGGGAAAACCTCACACGGTTTACCTGACTCCAAGGAGACTCTAAATCATGATCCGTTTACCTCTAAGGATATTTTTCGTCAGCATCGTGGTCTGTGCGAGTCTTGTGCGGAATTCGAGTCAACTAGCCATCGCTACTATTCAAATCCGGGTCACTTCATTGAGAATCAACCACTCTATCCCCTGAGCCCCCACAGCAGAAGCGTAGTAGTTGGCAGACCCCTAAAAAGTTGCTATTTTCAATCTTTTTTTAATAAATTTTGGTATTTTATTACTCACCACTTTCTGAATTCTTGATCGTCCCTGACTACTCTTGATATATTAATATTAAATATTTTTGGCGAACAATTGGGAGCCAAATCCTCAGTGGGAGGCGAGTGTTCTATCCTCTGAGTCATCACAATCCAAGCACAGTAGTTTGCCAACTACTATGCATAGTAGTTTGCAACTACAATGCAGCCCACTCATAGTAGATTGCCAGCTACTATATACTTTAGAAGATAGTAGATTGCCAACTACTATATACCTTAGAAGATAGTAGATTGCCAACTACTATATACTTTAGAAGATAGTAGATTGCCAACTACTACTACTAAAACTTTTAGTAGCAACTTTTTAGTAGTTTGCCGACTGCTACTAACGAGTTTCTATTTTCAATCTCTTTTTAAAAATGTTTGAATTTTATTAGTCACCACCTTTTGAATTCTTAGTCGCTCCTGGGAGTCTCTGAATATATTAATCTTAAATATTTTTGGCGAACCACTGGGTGTTTGAGTATAAATTGTTTCTAATTATGTGTTTTTCATTTTTTACTCCCATTTCAGAGAAATGCACAAATCATAAAGAATGCCATAATGGTGCTGTTTGCGAAGAAAGAGAAGGGGTTGACAAATATTGTTCTTGTGAGTATGGAACGAGCGGAGATTTCTGTGACATCATCCAAGAGTGTGTCGACAATCCTAACCTGTGCGGTGATGCGGGATGCGGATACAATACTCGACTTCGACGTGCATTCTGTTATTGCGACGACATCAACCAAAGGTTCGACTGGTCATCGAAAAGCTGCGTTAATCGAAGTAAGTCAACCAGAAGGTTAATTCCTATTCTTTCTTTATTCGAAAGCTGGGATCGCAATTATCTCGACTTGTTATACCTTTAAATACCTTTTCCTTAAATACCTTTAAATACCTATCATAAAAGGTATAAATACCTTTTATGATAGATAAATACTCTCTTTCTATTCTTGTGCTAACTAATATCTTTATTTCAAAGTCTGAACTATCTAAATCATTAATGTCTATATCTAAACCATTTTTCTTCGATGAGCTGTTTTTTCTCTAGACATGGCTCAAAATGCCTGTAAATAAATGCAAATAAGTCAGCAACTTGATATTGTTTGGTTTCCTTAATCATTCTTTACTTTACGTTAGTGTTTTCGATAGTCAGACTTTGATAGTCAACAGCTGTTTTTATGCTATTGCCACGGGTTATAGAAATTTAAAATAGTGGCATTAAAATTAAGTTGTAATAATTTAGATTTTTGAAAACCAATTTTCCGTTTAGTATTCTGAGAGTCATCTGATGAGTTACGATTGTAATATACACAGTCACTCCGATGTCCGGGACTCGCAATGATTACACTTAGCGTTTAAATAAGCAAGGAAAGGGGAAAACGAAATGATTCTTTTAGTTGTTAAGTTTGATTTAGCCATCGGAAAGCTGAAATTTATGCTACTCTCATTTGATTTACACACTTCATGGGACATGTCCATTTTCTTAAACACACTTTAAGATCTGTGTGCATATTCTGAATCATCCATTTCTATCTGTGTCTGTTTTCTACGCTTTTTGAGCTGTGTCCATTATATTAAACATCCCTTTTGGTGTATGTCCATTTTCTGAAACACGCTTTTTGATCTCACTCCATTTTAAATACCTTTTTTTTAAATCTTCCTTTGCTTAAATATCTGGAAAAACACGCTTTTATAGCAGTGGCCATATTCTGCAACACGCATTTTGATCTGTGTCCATTTTCTTAATTATGCATTTTGATCAGTGTCCATTTTTATAAACACGCTTTTTAAGCTTACCAGAAGCTTTAGCTCACTGATTGTCTTTATGCGATATTTCCTCTCCAAGACTTCGTAACGTTAAAGTAGTGCACGAAAAAAGAAAATCTAGTAACTTGAATTTATCATGCATCCGGGCTTCAATACTCCACGCTACCCACCCAAGGAAGAGAGTTTCTGTGCCCAAACCTGCTGAAATTTAATATGACAGACAGAAATTCTCAAAGATTTAAAGCCGAGATTGGCGAAAGGAAACATTAAATAAAATATACCATCTTAAACTATATCATTATTACTTATTTAGGGATATAACACTTCTAATAACGTTTTACATTATTTTTTATTCTTAACTGAATCAAACGGGTTTCAGTATACAGTAGAGCAGTGTTCCCCAACCTTTTTATCACCACGGACCTGTCAACGTTTGATAATTTTATCGCGGCCCGCTGGGAGGGACGGACGTTGATTGTTTATATTTTAGATTATTTTGATTTATTAATTTTAATTTAATTGTATTTAAACATGCGTTCAAAATAAGATTACACCAAAAAATAAATATAAAGTGATTTAACATTTTAACTTATTAAAACGTTAAATCAATGAGAACCATGAGTTTGTTTCTTTGTAATGAGACGGTTCCATCTGGGGGTAATCGGAGACAATGATACATTACAAACATTAAAAAAATTATGTCATTACCTTCGGGGCCCCCTTTTTTTTAATTAAATAAAATTTTAATTGAACATAGATATTTTTAATTAGGGGTATAAACCTAGGAATTTAAATTCAGTTTCAATGAAATGGGCGGCCCGGTACCATTTGATCCATGAACCGGGGGTTGGGGAACACTGCAGTAGAGCACCGATTACTATGGGGCAAAGCTTATACCGATAACTAAAAATCCGGAAAATTGAGCAACTTTAAAAAACTGCTCCATGAAAATGCTTTTAATTAACTTCCCTTCGCACTTTTTTTCGCGCATATAATTTCATACTATATCGTATTACAAATAACGTGTTTTAAACTATTGAGTTTTATACATTTTTTAAGCACCTTTGTCCCGCATTGAATAAGGAGGAAAGAATGTGAGGATCTTTTCAAGGTCTCCGAGAGGCAAAAGATGTCATTTTTCGACCCATTTCAGATTTTCTGGAGAAAAAAAAGCATGGTAAAAGAAAGCTTTCAAATTTTACAAAACTTACAGACTATTATTGTTATGAAGGCGGTGTGTGTGTGATCGCCATTATTAATATTATAGTGGTGGTTGAAGTATTGCCTCGAGGAAAATGAATAAAATCGTCTAAGTAAAAATTTGATTTATTAAGTAAGAATTAATATATTCAAAATGGCCATATTTAAAATATACAAATCATAAAAAAAAAAGAAATCCCTCAAAGGGATCAAAATAACATTCCCTACATCGAGAAGTTTAATGAAACTGGGAGGCACAAAGCATCCCCAGTCACCACAAATTTGAAATTGAAAGTGAATGAATTTGTTCCTAACAGACACAAGAGCATGGAGAAAAGATTCAAGATTGGCGAATTATTGAAATATAACTTAGCCAAAATAAAGTCAACCCTCCATAATCAATATTAGGTTTGAAAATACTTCGGGAGTCGCCAACAAGACTGTGAGAATTATTATAACCATTTAGCTGAAACATATTTGTATTAGAAATTAATAATAAAGAGTTATAAATAGATTTTTGTTTTTGATTAGGCGTGGCAGTGAATTAATGAGTCTACATTAGTATTGAAATAAAAAGTTAGCCANTAAATAGTCTGCGCGGACTGCTTATAAAAGACTGTGCGGAGGCTATTTGATGTAAGAGGTGATGGCTGAACTCGTATTATGTGAGGGAAAATTATCCATCACACAAATGTCCCTTTATAACAAATATTATTTCATTTTTATTTGAAAGTCAAATTATTTATGTTTTATCTAGTCATATCGACTAATCAATAAAATTTGGAGCATTTATATAAAAGCTACAACCTTCAAATATCAAAATTTTAACTAACAGCGAGTTTTTCAAGGGGGATCAATTGATATCGTTATGGAGAGTTTCAACAAAAATCATTTTCTTCAAAAATACTATAAAAACCTTTTTTCTCTACGGCCTTCAATTGGTTTTTAAAATCCTTACTTGAAAGAAAGTACCTTTTCGTTCACATTTCCCTCATTCATCAACATTATCCTTCATCATTATCTAATTCATCATCATCTAGTTTTTTATCATTATCATTTACAATTATCTAATAATTTTTGTTTTTAACTTCCAGCTGAATGCAATAATAACGAAGAGTGCAGCACCATTCATGGCGCATGCGCTGATCGTTGCCAATCATGGGAACAATGTAATTACACAGACACTGAAGACAAACGGACTTGCCACTGTGTAGAAGGGACCAGTGGTCAAAATTGTGAAGTTATCGACGACTGTTTCAACAAAATTGTTGATTGTGGAACAGGAGATAACGTAGTCTGCAAATATTTCTACAACATTGGAGTTGGAGGACATGCGTATTGCGAATGTACAAAAAGTGGCCAAAAGTTCGATGAAATCAGTAAAAGTTGCAAAGGTAAATCAAACAGATTTAATAAAGATATTGACATTTATGTGTAGTACCTAAGCATTTACCTAAGTTACGACACTTTCTTCATGCGCATGTTGTTTAGTGATGACCAATCTTTTGTATTTGTACACACACACCCACACACACGCACTCGCGAAAAACATCTTTATTTTATTACATATTACATGTATAGATAGATAACGATTAGATGTTATTAAAAATTTTCTATGCACGAAATATTCTGAAAGCACAGTCTATTATTAATAATTGAACTTTATAATTAAAAAATTTTTTTATTATTAAAGTTTTGAGAAGGGTAACAATACATTCAGTCAAAGTTCCTGACTTATTACTAATTTTATTACACGTTTTACTTAATGAATTTTGAATATATTTTTACCATTCCTTGGATCTATAATTCATTCGAGTTATTACAATTTATATTTTCAAGTGTGATAAATTTCATTTCAGTTAATTCTCCTTTTAATTAGGATTTTAATTTTATAATAGTAACTATTTGTCCACTTTCAACTTTTATGTCATAGAAATTAATTGTATTAAACATTTCTACTATTATCGATTTGTGAGAGTGTGTGTGCATTGGCGTAGACAGATAAAATTTATTGGGGGTGGGACCATACTTGGATTGCTTACTCTACAATATATATATTTTTGTGTGTGATTCCGAAATACACAGACACATAGATTAATAAAAGTAACTAACTTTTTCTTAATGTAATACAAAAACCTGACAGCAAGCATAAAATAATTATATTTCCGATTATTCATCTACCACTGAGGATATTTTACGTCAGCACTGTGATCGATGCAAGCCAGATGCGGAATTTGTTTCAAACAGCCATTGATGAGAATCGAACCCAGAGCACCTCATTGAGGAGTGAGTGCTCTGTCCTATTAGCCACCACGACTGCCCCAGGGAGAGTATTGTTAATTGATGCATAATATTTGAAAATATATACTATCGTAGGAGTTATATAGTCAAAAAAGTATTGAGTTTTTAAAGCATTTTTTCCCTTGTTATAAATTAATACTTGTTTATAAATTAATATTTTTTTAAAAAATCCAGTTATATTTGGACAAATGTTTAATTCCATTGAATTTTCGCTCTGTGGCTGAATCGAATGGATCGTTAAATTGGTAAAATTTTTAAAGAGAACAGATATTCAATACTTTGTATGTAAGTTTTGCATAGAAATCCAATTTTTTTTTTCTCAAATCGTTTTTAAAATTTTATTTTTGTGACCTGAAAATAATGTTTCTAAATTATTTCTAACGAACAAACCAATCATTATTATAGTCAGGCAACATAAGCCAAAAGCACAAATAACAAAAGAAAAACGCTGTAGAGGAGCCACCCCTTCTACAGCGGATCAAAATTGCAATGGTATTTTTACGGATCATCCTCAGGGATGTTTCCAAGACCGTCGCCCATTGTGCAGCTCTAGCATAAGGTAAATAAAGTACCTACCTGTCCTTCAGCACTAAAAACATTAGCATTACACGAGCAATCTGTTGTTAACAACCTCCTTCTCCAAGTACATATATTAGATGTGACAATTTAACATCCACTGATAGATCGGTTAGCCTTCGGAGGCAGATAATTAGAAATAGAGGGAACTGTATAACAGCCAACTCTTACATATTTTGCGTCAGATTTTATTTTTATATTTAAGGTGGCAGTAAATTTTATGCTTTCCAGGGGTGTAGTTTTAATGTGTGTTAGAGGGGGGGGGAATTGGTTATCTCCATCTGTCGTGGTTGTTGTCATCGGCCATTAAAGTAGATGGTGTGCGATTGTTCTTGTTTTCCAGTGGCGCCCTCTATGGCCAAGAATTCGACTTCTACCACACCCATACGTCACACCTGTTTATAGATCAAATACATTCATTCATTCATTCAGAGATCGTAATTTTGACCTACACAAGAGAACGATCCATCTACCATTCAGTACCCCCAGAGGTATGAAAACATGGAGAACTTTGTGACCCAACTGATTTAATCTGCCCCAGTCACCATTTACAACATGGGGAGTTTTTGGCCAGCTGGATGCGAACTCTCGTTCTCACAAACGTGAGTCCAGTGTCCTGCTAACCTGGCTATCCTGGTCCTATCTCACTCTAATATATTCTAAACATTTAAAATGAGCAGCTGTGGCTCAGGGCCCGCGATGGATAGAGCGTTCGCCTTCCAATGAGGTGAACGGTGTTCGTATCTCAGTCGATACGAATTCCGCATCCGGCTT